GCTCATTTCGTTTGTTCAAGTCCTTAGAATACAAGGCTGATTGAACTTCTTCAAAGGTCAAGGACTCCCTTCCATACAAGAGAGTTTCTTTGAAGTGAGCATGTGTTCTGGGCAAAGCACACAACAGCAACAGTGCTTGATCTTCATCATCGATCTTCACGTCAATATTTTCAAGATCAAGAATCAGCTTGTTGAACATATCCAACTGCTCATCCAACACTTTGTCTTCACTCATCTTGAATGAATATAAAACTTGCTTTAGGTAGAGTCGATTCACCAGAGATTTGGTCATGTACAAGCTTTCAAGTTTCACCCATAATCCCGATGCTGTAGTCTCCTTTGATACCTGTCGAAGAACCTTATCACCAAGGCTCAACAATATTGCGCTATGGGCTTTCTCGATCATGCCCGTCTTTTCTTTTGTCGTTAATGCAGCGTCCATGGCTGCCTCACCCTTCAACGCTTCCAAACAACCCTGCTGAACCAATAGGGCTTTCATCTTCAAGCCCCACAGACCGAAGTCGTTCACTCCAGTGAACTTTTCAATCTCATACTTTGTTGAAGGCATCTTCTCCACGCTCACCGCACCAATTTGTTGTGAATCAGATACCTTTAAACAAAATATAAATGGTTTCTTTCTTATCAAGAAATACACAAGGGTTAGGGTTAATAAAGAAGACAAGGTAAAACAACAAGGAACAACAAGGATTGGTTATTAAACTGCTATTCTTTCCTTTCTCTTATAACAAGATTATAAGTATACAAGAATAACAAAATAACCTATCTCCCTTGAAATTAGGATTTTATCTTCCTATTTTTCCTTATGCCAAGATTGAGAAACTAGCATCCTATTTATAAGAAAAATAGCACACTAACCTAATGGGCTTTTTAACAATTACCCATTACAAGCCAACTTAGGGTACAAGCTAACTTAAACAATTGGGCTTACAAGCAAGACCCAATTCAACATGCTAACAACCCTAGCAATATTGACTAATGCATGTTAGAACAAACTTTGACTACAACACGCATTACTTGCGAACATAGTTCGATCCAACGTCTCACAAGAATCCTATACTACTATAAGATACAACACAAAATTAGCCCATAAATTTTGCACTTTAGGAATAAATGTTAAGCATTCTCATCCTTTGTACAACGTGTTGGAATATTTTATAATTTAAATATATAATATTTAATTATATTCCAATAATTATTATGTGAGTATATATGTTTTAATTATATTATTTATTTACCAAAATTAAGAGGCTAAATTGATTAAGATGTCAAATAAATTTAAAAAGCTAATTAGATTTCAATTTAGTAATTAATTAATTAATTGGATATGAGCTCAAATATGAATGGATATTAGGATGATTCATTTCATAATAATGGGAATCTTAATTGGCTATCACCCTATACATAGACTATGATCCCCAATATACCATACACAAGAAGTATACCTCTTCTCTCCATTTAAAGAGAGTTGAAAGGCATTAGGAGTACTAGTTGAGAAAGAACACAAGCCAATGAGTGCTCGTCATTCGACTCTCTTTACTTTGTGTTTCAGGAAAGTATAAAGTTGTGGCAATGATTCATTTATCCATATATTTCTAATATCAATCCTTGATAAATTAACATGTTGTGGATCCTAATATATATATATATATATATATATATATATATATATATATATATATATATATATATATATATATATATATATATATATATATATATATATATATATATATATATATATATATATATATATATATATATATATATATATATATATATATATATATATATATATAGTGAGAATATGTAAGTTATATAAAAATGTGAGAATGAATAAAAACCATCCGATTTAAAAAGGAAAGGTTAAGATGAACCATTAGATTCTAAAATAAATGGTGCAGATTACGTGTGATTTATTTTCTCTCTCCTCTATTATTAAAATAAATGATGGAGAAGAGAAAAAAATGACACATAATCTCCACCATATATCAATTTTTTAAAAACCGGACAAGTCGAACCGGTGAAACTTGCGATTTAAGATTTAATTGGTTAAATCGGTTAAACCTATGGTCGAACCGTTTATTAAATAAACTAATAATATGAAACTAAATTTCATAGATATGTTACGCATAATCATAAGTTCATAATTTAATAAAATAAATATTTCAAAAATCTATTATAAATTTAATACAACAATATTGATAGTGCATATAATAACATAACATAGTTCTATACTTCATTCGAACATTTATTTAAGAATAATTTGATCATTAATTACAATAAAATAAGTTAAACTAATTCAAACCAAAATTAAAATAATAGAATATAATTACTAAAATAAAGTTTAAATAATTAAGAATACCTAAATTAAATAAAATGCAATACCAAAAATAAATAATACAATATGACGATGGAATGTGGTTGAAAAAAAACGAAATGACAAAACTTAGAAGTATGTATGGTTGTAAAAAAAATATGAAATTTTTTTTCGTGATTGAAGAATGTATGTTAAGTTTTAATATTGACATATAAATTTTATTTTTATTTTTAAAATGGTCAATTTGATGCATTTTATTAAACCGGACGGTTTTACAAAATAGGTTCCGATTCTTTGGTTGGAATGATTTTGAATGGTTCAATTCAATTTTTTTAATTTTACTCTAATTTTGACCCACTAGCTATATTAAAAGGTTAATCCAACCGAATTCATAGTCGATTCTTAGTATAACCGATTGAACTGAACAAAATATAAATATATATATATATATATATATATATATATATATATATATATATATATATATATATATATATATATATATATATATATATATATATATATATATATATATATATATTATATTATATTATATTATATTATATTATATTATATTATATTATATTATATTATATTATATTATATTATATTATATTATATTCGGTCAGTTCAACCGGTTATACCGAAAACTGGAAGTCTAAATTCTTTTACACATGCGTTCAATGAAATTATGTTAAATATTTATTACAATATTTTTAAAACTAGCATAAAAATGTTTTGTGTACATAATTTCATTGAATGAATGTATAAAGTAATTTTACATATTAATCTCATTTAACAATTAATCATAGTATATAGTCTTAATTCGTTTTGAAAATATTAGTATGTTAATATAAGAATAATAGTATTATTACCCTATCACCTGAAAAAAAACCATGGGGAACAAAATCAGCGGTTGGCACTTTGCTTGCAGTTACGTAACAAAATCATGTGAATCCAACAATAATCTTTTCATGATATTCATCATTCTAGGGTTTTCTGAAATTCTCCCAAACCAATCAATGCGTTTCTCAATTCATCTCATACCAACGCAGCATTAGATCAGATCGCTAGTCCTCCGTAGTTTCAATCCAACACAAACTCTCAAAATCCCAAATCACATTATCGTTTCACTGGGTATGATGTTTTCCTCCTTACTCTCAATGTGGCAATTTAACATTTTCTCAAGTTTAATTGAAAAATGTTTATTATTATTATTATTATTATTATTATTATTATTATTATTATTATTATTATTATTATTATTATTATTATTATTATTATTATTATTATTATTATTTTTATTATTATTGAAATTTGTGAAATGGGAAATGAATGTGTTGGTTGGCGGTAATGGATCGATTGGAAGATTTAGATATTTAGATTATATGGTCTAATTTCATGTACCAAAAAGTTTCTATTTTTTTTTATCCCTTAACTGAATCATGGATGATGTCACTGTTTAGAAAACAAAACTTTCTGAGATTTCATTATTAAATGAAGATGATTTTTTTTGTCAAGCATTTATTTATTATTTATGTTTAAATGTACCATGGTTATGTTAAATGATTGATTTGAATAATAGTTACTTTGAGTACTAGTTACTGACAATCAGGACTAAACCTGTTTTGTTTTTTTTTTTTTTTGTTTTTTTTTTTTTCTGAGCATCATTGTTTTGAGTTGTAACTGATTAGGGCTAATTTTAATTAATTCAATATTATCGATAATAACTGCTACCGTTTATCACTGTTTCGAGATTGAAGCATGTTAAGTTCCTCTTTATCTGCTAGACTTTTATGAAGAGGAATTCTTTGTTTCAGTTATATTAATGATTTTTAATTTGCTACTGTTGGTTGGGGGGTCTGTAATATTTCTTATTTGCTGAGCTGCTACATTTGAGAATTGGAGCATGGTTTTGGCGGGATCAATGAGAAAACGTGTTATGAAATTTTTATTTTTTTACGTGTTTTATCTTGGTTTAGGATAAGATTGTTTTTTATGGATTCAATTTTATGAGCTGGATGGTTCATCTCTCAGAATTTCTTGTAAAGTATATAGATAGCGGGCTCTGTACCACCGACACCTTTTGAAAAAAGGTGTGTCTGTGTCAAGTGTTGTTGTTCGAAACCGACGCTTATATTTGTGATTTCATTTAATTTATTCATTTTTTAAATTATTACCGGTGTCGTGTTTCTGTGTTCGTGCTTCATAGGTAGAGAGATGCTAGAAGCTAGAAAGCTCTTCCATAATAATGTTTTTTTTTGGTGGTGTGACCTTCTGTATTGTTTTATTTAATGAGAAAAACAAAACTTTTCCTAAATTTTCTCTGCACGTCTTCTTTCCTCCTAGAAACAGTTTGATTTCATCTAACGGAAAATTTATTTGCAGAATCAGTCTCTTTGCTACACTCCAGACATAGAGTTGTTGACTGAATTTTCCGTCTTTTTTCCTGAGCTGAATACAAATAACTTCTATAAAGGTTAATATTATCCGCAACTTATATCACTTTCAAAGATGCGATGTTATGATTCATCCTTCCGTGTTTCATTTTTTTAACACCACATCTTCAAACTGTGTTTGTATAAATAATAGGTGATTTAGGTGGAAAGAAAAATAAAACATAGTCTATAAGAGATTTCTCAACCAAGGGGATAGTGCTACAATGTCGGACTCGAATGAAATGCCGTCGTTCAAATCTTACCAGGATCAGGCCAATTTGTTCGTGAAGGATTATATACTAGCAGATTCTTTGATTCCATATACTTCTGTTATTGGTGGCATTCTTGCTTGCAAACTGGTATTTTACATATTGTATGCTGTCATTCTATTTTCTTATTATATGATAATCAAGTGATATTATTGTTGTTTTGCTACTTAACGTATTGCCTTGCTTTTTTTTTCATTTCAGATCTATGATCTTACTCATCTCATTGGTACTAATTACTTTAAGACCTATTCCAGCTTCTCAAAAATCCAACGGATCGAGTGGAATAACCGGTGACTGGATGTTTCCTTGAGTTTAAAATATCTTTCGTTTGTTGCTCACGATATGAAATATTTATGGACTTTGATTATTTGTGCAGATCTGTATCAACTATTCATTCAATTTTCATAACAGCTATGTCATTATACTTGGTGTTTTGCTCAAATTTATTTTCTGACAACCAGTCTAATGATCCTATTACAGTTCGTAACTCTTCTTTGTCGACATTTGCACTTGGGGTAAGAATCGTCTCGTTTTTCTCCTTTGAGTTCCATCCATTACTAATATCGTATCTGAGATAAACCTATGGGTGACTGTGATAGTTAAAGCTGCATTCAGAAATTATACATCTTTGGCTTTTATGAATAACAATTTTTATGCGTTTTTTTGTATGTGCAATTATTGGAGTCTAAAAATATTTTGATTTTGGTCTTGAGTTTCTAGGTTACAAAATTAGTCAAGTGAAAACTAGATCTGCTAATTAGGTATGGTTATGTTTTTTCTCCTGCGAAAGTGAAATTTTACCCGTGAAGTTTTGTCAAATAGGTATGGTTATGTTTTTTCTCTTGCGAAAGTGAAATTTTACCCGTGAAGTTTTGACAAATATGGATTGCGACTGTAAAAAAAACGCTGCATTACCTATAAATCTGACATGCGAAAAACAATGTATCTTGTAATTATGTCAATCTGAACTGAAGGTAAGTTTTCGAAAATGAAGTTTGTTGAGTGACTGAAATGAGGAGATAAAGTTTATTTGTGCGAGGCTTATATATAATTTGCATCAGCTTGATTACCATTTGGTTTTTCTGCCTTAGATTTAGTACCAACACTGTAAAATTGTGATGAATTACTTGCCCGAGTGAATTTTCAAGTACTATTTAATTACATGATGAGAGAGAAGAAACAAAAAAAATTACATAGTCAGACAATAAATAAATTATCTTAAAGATCTAGGCAGGGAATCTGATATGATTAAGAAATGATGTCTGTTGCATCATTGTAGCAAGGACACCGTGTTTGATTCTTCTAGGGTTTTATTTATTTTTGGCATCGGGACTTGCTATGATAGATCAATAAATTCAATTTTCATATGACGGGGATTAGGACTTCCAAGTCTATGAAATTATAAAAGAATCTTGTTAACTTGTATGAACATAGTATGAAATTGTGAATCCACTATTAATATTTTCTATCTGGCCTTGAATGATTATGGTCAAAGAAAGTCTGTTTTGAGTATGAAATTATTTCCATTGATTGTTACTCGGGTGATCCTTTGTTGCTGTGGTACACATGTTATAGTTTATGTTATTTAATACTACTATAAATTACATTGCCTTAGTTTGTGATTAGAATCGATGGTTGGAATCTAATGGAACTTAATAATTCATATTCTTCCTACTTTTCCTCTCATAACCTACATCGTCCTGATCACATTTTAACATCTCATTTTTATGACCAACAATATTTTCTTTGATCTGGTGAAGAAGTCTTTATATCTGATGTTTGATATTTGTTTCCACAGGTTTCTGTAGGTTACTTCATTTTTGATTTAGCGATGATCCTTTGGTTTTTTCCTTCTCTTGGTGGATATGAGTATGTAAGGATAATATCTTCCTAACTTGCATTGTTTAAGCTAACTGTCTTATATGTAGTTGAATCTCTTATTCAATTTTAAAACATTTCATTTATAGGAACTTAGTGGAGATGATTAAGACAGGGATTAACTTGACTTAATGTTAACATTGGTTCAGGTGGTTCATCATATGTTTTCATTAGTAGCAGTAGCGTATTCAATGTTGAGTGGGGAAGGACAGCTTTACACATACATGGTCCTGATCTCGGAAACAACTACTCCAGGAGTCAATTTGAGATGGTAATCTTGCTCTCTTAGGTTTATTACTTAATTTTAACATGTCATGTAATCTTTTTCTTTATTTTTCTTTTTGTGAAGGTATCTCGACGTAGCTGGTATGAAAAGATCCAAAGCTTATCTCATCAATGGGGTTGTAATATTCCTTGCTTGGATGGTGGGTTAAACCGCCGCAGTTTGAAATACATTTGTATAGCTCTTGTCATGTTTGTTGCAGTATCCTTATTTTGAGATATCATTTCATGTTGAATACATATAATTCTCATTCTGGGCTTACTGGACTTCTTACCGATATGGTCTATTTGCAGGTTGCCAGGATACTTTTGTTTGTCTACATGTTTTACCATGTGTACCTGCACTTTGATCAGGTAACTACTATTAACACTGGATTTGAAAATTTTCTGGTGTGTGGTGCTTTATAGGTTGTAGATCTTGACTTCAATTTTTAGCCTTTTAAAATATAAATGTATATTTCAAATTAAAATTTAAAACGCAAGTAGGATTAAAATACCACCAAAAAGTAAGATTTTGGTAGGTTTTCAAAGGGTTATTTCAAGAAGTGCCGTTGGGAATAATATTTTTACTAAAACTGTTGTTAATTCCACTGTTGTTAATTCCGGATAGCAGCACGGAATGGCGATCCCTGAAACTGGAATAACAGGATACCATGTGGTGGGAAGGCTGTTTTTCTAATACTTTTTTGGACAAATTACATGATTAATGCCATAAATACATAATCTATAATCTATAGACTATACCAATATATAAGAGAAAACATATTTTTGGTAGAACTTATTTTCTTTCCAATTTTACCCTTAGATACTTCTTATAGTTACTCCATTTATTTAACTTAAATATAACCTCATTCTCCCATTTTCATTTTAATGTCAGTTAAACATTTTCTCTCTATACTAATCTTCTTCCATTTTATTTTCTCTATGTAACATTACTTCCATAATAGAGAAAAGATACAACAAACAACAATCAAGCTTTATCCCATTAAATGGGGACTACATGAATCAAATTCTGCTATTATATTTTATCTAATTTATTTATCTCTGAGATCTATCTTAATAATTTCTCTTATAGTTTTACTAGGTCTTTCTTTACCTCTAATTGTTTGACTCCTCTCTATCTGAGCTACCATCCATACAACATAATCTACATATCTTCTCTTGACATGGTCAAATCACCTAAGTATATTTTCCACCATCTTTTCACTATATGTGCTACCCCAACACTCTCTTTAATATTGTCATTTCAAATCTTATCCTGTTTAGTCTTACCACACATCCAACACAACATTATCTTCTCCGTTGCATTTACTTTATTCTCGTGTTCATTCTTAATTGCCCAACATTCTGTTCCGTACAACATCATAGGTTTTACTGTTGTCCAGTAAAATTTTTCCTTCAACTTGAGTGGTACTTTTGTGTCACATAAAACTACTGAGACCCTCTTCCATTTCAGCCATCCAACTTGAATTTGATGGTTTATATCCCTTTCTATTTTTCCATCATTTTGTATTATGGATCCAAGATATTAAAACCGCGTCTCTCAAACTTTCACCTCTAAGTTAGAAACACTTCTCCTTTCGCTGAACTTACATTTCATAGACTATGTCTTACTTCTGCTTAGGGGAAAACCATTTGTTTCCAGTGCTCGTCTCCAAGTCTCCAATCTTATTTAAATCCTCCTTCACCTTTCTAAGTAGGATTATATCATCTACAAAAACTATATATTTTAGTGCTAGCTTTTGGATGTGTTCTGTGAGTACATCTAAAATAAAGTAAAAAGGTAGGGACTTAAGATTAAAAAAAAAATACCATTTATATTTTCATGCGGGTGGGTGCTAAAAAAAACATTGTAGTGTGCATAAGGCATTAAAAGGATACTTCATACCAGAGTGTACATGAGGGGTATAGTGTCTATGAAGGAAATGCCGAGGATTTAACTATCCTATATTTTAATTCAGTTTTTGATTTTACAATAGTTAACCATTGTTTTAGGAAACGGAAGGAGCATCTTATATTTTAATTCAGTTTTTAATTCAAGTGGGGTGATTTTGTTCTCAAATCGATTTTTTGAGAAGGAAATCAGATAACACTAAATTTCAATGTTTATTTTGTCTATATTGTGTGAGGATTGTACCCATTATTCTTACAGTAAGTACAATTGAATGAAGATTACTTCTACACCCTATACTACGTTCTCGACTACAACCACGTCCTCAATCTCCACTACAACAAACACTAGAATTAAAAATAAGTGCAGGGGTCTCAGGGGCGGTCTGGATGTTATACCTTGTAAAGAAACTAGGATGAAATGATTAATAGGCTCTTCCACTGTAGGAATGGTGGCATTTTTCAAAGCTTGATTCTGGATATGACCATATTCCGTAGGAAGACTGAGGAATGATAAACTCTATAAACATATTGTCAAGGTTCGCCACAATGTCGTCACTAAGCAACATAAGTCTGAGTTTGTCAATAGTGGACTGATCTTGAGCTAAATATTTTGATAAATCTTGACCAGTCAGATCATTTGAAGTGTAGACGACCTACAAATAGGGCATTGTTAACATAAAAGTTTTCAGCCTTATGCCAAACTTCATAAAATGTCCTATACGAGCTCAATATAATTCTACAACAGACATATGAGTTAATAATGAGCTGTTCCCAATCATATTTTTTAACTAAGCATCAATCTTTGAATCCTTAGTAAAATGACCCGAACGACGTTGTTCTGAGAACCATGACTCAGATGAATACCAATTCAAATAATTCTTACCATTCAAATTTTCTATTGTGATACTGGGTGTTCCGTGGATTGCAAAAGAGATCAAGCCCCTTTTAGTGGAATTATCCTTTGTAGTTGTCTTTTGGGACTAAATAGTGTTAGGGGTTCTGTGCATGATATCACAGCCAAACACAGCCAAAGACATGCAATAATACCAAAGAGAGAAACATGGGAAAAACTGAAAAACACAAGGTCTGAAGCAAAAAGTGTCCAGAACCCATCTCAAACATGGGATCCACAAGCTGGAAGGGGTCCCAATAGAAATTGGAGGAGAAACTGCAATGGCAGGAACTGACGATGGCTCAAACAGATGAGCAGAGTGTGGCAAATGACTTTCACGTGCCAGAAAGACACTCTGACTATGATGGCGGGTGATGGAGCTTATGAAGGTGGAATTTCGTCAGCTGGAATATCAGAGGCTTTAGGTAATGATTGTCGAGCATGTGTCTTCAATTGCAGGGGTTCCTCTGGTGGCAAGGTTTTGTTAAACAAAATAATAAGAAGAAAGTGAAGTAAGCGATAGTTATGATATATAGAGAAGGTGCTAAGTTTACCAATCCTTAAGCACCAAAGCTAGGTAGTGAAGAATTTAAGAAACTTGCTAAAGGTAGATAAAGAAAGACGAGAGTTAAATCAGATGTGTCACGAAACAGTGAGGGAATTACTTTCATACCCTTTTCAACGATAAAAAGGCCTCACCATATCAAATCATGCAAAATGTCAAATAAAGTAAGAAAGGCCTCACCATAAGTTGTTCATGCTTTTAACATACAATACTTTATTGCATAGTTTACCGCTACAATTTTACTCCATTTTAAATTAGTGACATTTCTATCAAATAATTTAAGATATCAATTTAATTACCCGTGCGGATGCACATGTCTTCTACTAGTTGTGCTATGTAACACTTTTCATGGGACCGGGTTAGGGATATTAGAATAGAATATTCTATTGTTGTCTTATTCTCTTATTGTGTGTTATCTGTTTGTTAGGGCACAACTGTAAGTTTGTTAGTGAGTTGTACCATATGTGATAACAAACTATTCCAGCTATATATAGCTACTGATTGTATTCTATTTTGCTAAGAATGAAATACAAATCAGATTCTTCTCTCTCTTTCTATTATCTTAACATGGTATCTTGAGCCTTTTTCTTTCCCGTGCTCCCATGGCCTTTCCTTTCAATTCTGAGGGTGTTTTTCCCTCTTCTCACATCAAACTTTCTCACCTCATCTCTGTCAAGCTTGATGAAAGAAACTTCAAGCAATGGAAACAGCAGATTGAAGGTGTGATTCGCGGCCACAAACTGCAATGGTTTGTTACGACGCCGCTTGTTCCTCCGCGCTTCCTTCTCGGCGCAGATCCGGTCACCGGTGGTGCGAATCCCTTGTATCTTGACTGGGAACAGCAAGATGCGCTTATCTGTACTTGGCTCCTCTCCACTATCTCTGACTCCATTCTTATGAAACTGGTTGATTGCACGTACTCATGGCAAGTGTGGTCTGAAGTTTAACGTTACTTCAACACCTTGCTCACTACCAAGGCGCGTCAACTTCGATCAGAGCTCCGAAATCTCACCAAAGGTTCACGCACGATAACAGAATTCATGATTCTTGTTCGTGACATCAGCGAATCTCTGGTATCTATTGGCGACCTTGTTTCTCAGCGGAATCTCATTGAAATCGTTGTCGATGCTATTCCTGAAGAGTATGATCCTATTGTTGCTGCGATGAACAGCAAAGAGGATCTCAGTACGATTGAAGAGCTTGAATCGAGTCTCCTTGCTCATGAATCGCGTCTGGAGAAGAATCGTAAAGTTGTTGTCACTGAACCTGTTTCAGTGAATCTTGCTCAAGCACCACCATCTTCTCAATCTTTCTCTACTGATGCTTCTTGTGTATATACTGCCTCAACCTTTCCGGTTGGTACTAGCCATGTTAACGCCACTGCTGACAATCATGGTTATGGCTTTCGTGGTGGTAGGTCTGGTCGTGGTGGTGGAAGATTTGGACGTGGAGGTGGCAGATCTGGTAAAGTTTCTTGTCAAATCTACCACAAACCTGGTCATGATGCATCAATATGTTATCATAGGTACTCATCTTCAGGTGCTCCGTCCTACCCTTCACCAAGAACTCCCTTCAATCCTTTCATGATGATGCCACGCTCACCATATCCTCCTTCTGCTTTTGGTTATGCTCCTGCTCCAAGGCCTACACCACCAAGGCAGCCTCAACCTCAAGCTTTCTTAGCAGGTTCTGATCCCAGCTTCAACAACCAATGATGGTATCCAGATTCAGGTGCTTCGCATCATGTCACGCCTGAGATTTCAAATTTGTCTGATGCTTCTTCACTGCCTGGAACTGAACAAGTGTTCATGGGGAATGGTCAACGTTTGTTTATTGATTTTGTAGGTTCCATGAGTTTTCCTTCCTCTAATCCTTCTAATTCATCATTAATGTTGCATAATCTTCTTCTTGTTCCTCATATAACTAAGAATATCATCAGTATTAGCAAATTTGCTCAGGATAATCGTGTCTATTTTGAATTCCATCCTCAATTTTGTGTTGTAAAATCGCAGGATACTTCTGAAATTCTTCTTCATGGCACTGTTGGAGCTGATGGACTCTACAGATTTGCCAAGCCCATTGTCTCTCTATCCAAGTCTATTAGTTCTAGTTTTAAGTCTCCTAGTTCTAATTTCTGTTATAGATTTAGTTATCCTTGTAATCCTGTTGCTACTAGCAACCATCTTTCCTATTGTAATGATGATTTTCACAATAATAAAACTGCATCTAACTTTACTTTCAATTCTCCTGTTGTACATTTAACTTTTGCTCCTAATTCCTACTCTAATTATGCCATGTCTAACTCTGCCACTATATCAAATAGCAAGTATGCTCTATGGCATACTAGGCTTGGTCACCCTCACCATCATGCACTTCTTGAGGTTCTCAAACTCTGTCAAATTCCTATCCCTCAAAAGCCTCCCACTGACCTATGTTCTGCTTGTTGTTTAGGCAAGTCTCACAGACTGCCTTTAACACTGTCCACTACTATTTTCACTTGTCCCTTTGAACTCGTTGTGTGTGATCTTTGGGGCCCTGCACCCATGGTCTCCTCAGGAGGTTACTCTTATTTCTTAACCTGTGTTGATGCTTTCTCAAGATTTGTTTGGGTTTTCCCTTTAAAACTAAAGTCTGACACCCTCACTCAATTTATACACTTCAAGTCTATGGTTGAACTTCAATTCAACTGTAAAATTAAAGGCGTCCAAAGTGATGGAGGTGGTGAGTTCAAACCTCTCACTAAGTTTCTTGCTCCCTTAGGAATTACTCATAGGTTCTCTTGCCCTTACACTCACCATCAAAATGGCATAGTGGAAAGGAAACATCGCCATATAGTTGAAACATGCCTTGCTTTTCTTGCTCATTCTAAATTTCCTTTCAAGTATTGGGATCATTCCTTTATCACTGCAGCCTACCTTATCAATAGGTTACCTAGTGCTTCTCTTCAAAATAAATCTTGTTACTCCATTTTAATGCATAAACCTCCTGACTATTCCTCACTTAGGGCTTTTGGCTGTGCCTGTTTCCCCTTCCTTAGACCCTATACCTCCCACAAACTTTCATTTAGATCTCAGGAGTGTATCTTTCTAGGATATTCCTCTGTTCACAAAGGCTACAAATGCCTTTCAGCTGATGGACACATATATATCTAAAGACGTCCTATTCCATGAAACTAGCTTTCCCTACCCTGAGCTCTTTCCTAGCTCCTCCACTCCTGTGACTTCCACTACTTCTGCCTCTTGGTTTCCTTCTGCCTCTCCACCTATTCCTACATTTCATATCCCCCCACTACAGCATGTTTCCCCCTGTCTCTTCTCAGCCATCACCTTCTAATGCTGCTTCCCACACTGCAGAACATTATTATTCTACTATCTCTGCTCAGCCTATGTCTCCTATTGTCTCTAATGCAGACTCTCCCTCTTCTCCCCTGCATCATTCACCCTCTTCTCCTTCTGACTTTTCTGATCTGGCTGAGGCCAACACTATATCTCCTTCCTCTTCATCTCCTGTCCCTTCTTCTAATTCTGCTCCTATTCCTCCTATTCACCCACTCAATGTTCATCCCATGCAAACTCGTGCCAAAATTGGTATTGTTCAGCCTAGAGTCAATCCTACTTTGCTCTTAACTCACATGGAACCCACCTCAATCAAACAGGCCTTGACCACTCCTCACTGGTTTCAGGCTATGCAAGATGAATATCAGGCCCTTTTGAAAAATCAGACTTGGTCTTTGATGCCTCCACTTGCATCCAAGAAACCCATAGGCTGCAAATGGGTTTTTCGTGTGAAAGAGAACCCTGATGGTACCATTCTTAAATACAAGGCAAGGCTGGTCGCCAAAGGTTTTCACCAACATGCTGGGAGTGATTTCTCAGAAACCTTCTCCCCTGTAGTAAAAAATGTCACTATAAGACTTGCGCTAACCCTTGCTGTCACAAATAACTGGCAGATGCAGCAAATTGATGTCAATAATGCCTTCCTTAATGGGCTACTTGAAGAGGAGGTTTATATGATACAACCTCCTGGGTTTGAGGCTACTGATAAGTTTTGCAAGCTGAACAAAGCTTTATATGGTCTAAAGCAGGCTCTAAGAGCCTGGTTTGACAGACTCAAGGATTCTCTTCTGACTCATGGACTGCAACCTAGCAAACGTGATCCCAATTTGTTTTATCTTCACACCAGCAACCTCATTATCATGGTCCTAATCTATGTTGATGATATCATCATCACAGGAAATTCCACTGCCTATATTGCTCAGCTTATTAAGAGTCTTAACTCTAATTTTGCCCTCAAAGATCTTGGTAAGTTGGATTATTTCCTAGGCATTGAAGTCTCCCATCTGCCTAATGGTTCTATCATCTTATCTCAATCTAAGTATGTGAGTGACCTGCTTACTAGAGTGAATATGGCCACAACTAATCCTATGCCTACCCCTATGGTTTCTAGCAGTAAATTGTCTAAATTTGGTTCAGATACTGTTGCAGATCCCACCCTGTTTAGATCTGTTGTTGGAGCATTGCAGTATGCAACATTGACCAGGTCTGAACTCTCTTTTGCGGTTAACAAGGTGTGCCAATTCTTATCCAATCCTTTGGAGGATCCTTGGAAAGCTGTCAAGAGAATACTGAGATATCTCAGTGGGACACTTCACTATGGTCTTCTCATTCAACCTGCCCCTAAACAGCAGCCTCTTTCTCTCTTGGGTTTTTGTGATGCAGACTGGGCTGCAGATCCTGATGACAGGAGATCAACCTCAGGTGCTTGTGTTTTTCTTGGGCCTAATTTGATCTCTTAGTGGTCAAAGAAGCAACAACTTGTGGCTAGATCAAGTGCTGAAGCAGAGTACAGGAGCATGGCTCAGCTTGCCTCTGAGATGTTATGGGTCCAATCTCTTCTCACTGAATTACACTGCACCTTTCAAATTCCCAAGATTCTATGTGATAACCTAAGCACAATTACTTTAGCTCACAACCCTGTGCTTCATAACAGAACCAAACACATGGAATTAGACATTTTCTTCCTTAGAGAAAAAGTCATCAGCAAGAGTTTAACTGTGGTTCATGTTCCTGCTCAAGACCAATGGGCAGATGCACTAACCAAACCTCTCGCTGCTGTCAAATTCCTGCCTCTAAGAGACAAGCTAAGAGTTTTCAGTAAAAGGGAGCTACTGAAGACACCCTCTGATTCTAAGGGGGACTATTAGAATAGAATATTCTACTGTTTTGTCTTATTCTATTGTTTGTCTTATTCTCTTATTGTGTGCTATCTGTTTGTTAGGGCACAACTGTAAGTTTGTTAGTGAGTTGTACCATATGTGATAACAAACTATTCCAGCTATATATAGCTACTGATTGTATTCTATTTTGCTAAGAATGAAATACAAATCAGATTCTTCTCTCTCTTTCTATTATCTTAACAAGGGAAAGGGTTGAAACCATTATTTGTCTATTGTAGACAAGCCGTATCGTCCATTTGTGAGAGGCTTAACTCACTACTTGAACTTCTAACTTCATAGTTTTCCTTTGGACAATACTAACCTCATAGTTAAACACTAGACTCTAACTATTTTGACAAGGCTTCTCTTCAAGCCATGAAATGGTTTTTAATATGATAAACACTAAAGGAGGATCAAAGCTATTCATTTTGCCTCAAAATTTTGGAATTTGAGATAGAAGAATCATTAAAGATAATTGGTAATTGCAAATCAGCTAGACCACATAATATATTGGCTGATGTATCTACATTTTATTTTGGAAGATAATTGGTTTAGATTACAAATCTATTTGTTTCATACAATATCATTCTGTAACATCTTACATATCTCATTATCGACTAAAACTATAATGTAGCTCTCATCAAGTAGTGGAGATAAAAGGATCAGTGTTTACAATGTTGTATATTATGCCTATAGACATGTACATATACCATAATACCTCCTTAACAACTAAGGATCACATGTTCTTCAATTATTCAACAGGTTGAGCGTATGCACATCATTGGACAACTATTGGTAATTATTGTACCAATGGTGCTATCTGTTATGAACTTGGTTTGGTTTGCAAAGATTGTTAAAGGCTTGAGGAAGACATTGGCAAAGAGGCAATAATAATCTGCAGTCATGCTTATTACAGAAACATGTATAGGTTTCCCTGTTTATATTTGTCACCTTGTCTGACCAGCACTGAAAGATGTAACAGTATCAAATTATAGTTTATATTAGTTTATATTGTTTGGATCCACATGGATTTTTTTTGTCTTATATAAAATTTAAAATAATAATAGGAAAAATAATATTAAATTACATATGATTTATTAGTAATGGACAAATAATAATAATAAAACAATTAAATAACATGATTTTTAATTATGCTTATAAAGTTTAATTCCTATAAAAAAAATCGAATGTACGTATACAAAGCAATAATTTTGGCCATTTTTTTTCCGAATTCGATCTGTTAACATTGTTTAAGTGTTCCTTTTATACGCTCAGAATACAAATAAATTGGAAAATATATCACAACCATCCTTGGACCAAATAGGCAGAAAACACATTAACTTTTTTATTGCACCCCATGCATTTCTTTTTCACCGTGTGGTTTTTTACACATGCTTTCAGATTTCAGAGATATATCTTCGGACGTGCTCTATGACGGACTAAGCATTAATAATTTTTTGGAGATATAATTCTGAAACAATTTAAACCTTAAATGGGCACAACATATCTCTTATAACCTATTTTCATTTGAATATTTTCGGAGATGCATATACAGGAAATTTTCAGAAATACATCTCCGAAGTGTATCAGAATAGGTTTTTTATAAATGCACTGTATATTTGTTCGTAGATGAATTATAAAATAACAGACACACCAAAATAACATAACAATATAGTAATAGGATGTCATACGCCACGAAAATCCAAAATGTAGTAACAATGTTGAGAACAACGTATAAACTATAGTACTGAAACAAAATAAATATAGACAAGTACTGGGTGTGCCTGACAACCCCTCCTCTGTCTCCTCTTCCTGGTCCGCCTCCTCAGCCATCGACTCCCCTGTCCTCGCGCGATGTCTACGGTACAAACGTGCTCCTTGTGCCTCTGCAATAATGTCATCCAGTACTCGCCTGAAAGCAGACCCCTCAGGGAGGATACCCTCGTCAATGCCTGCCTGTGCCATCTCTACTATGCGATGACAACGAGGTAAGACATCCTCAGTATGATCCAACTGAGCTTGCTCCTCTTCTAGAATCTTCTGATGAGCGGGTCTCGGCGGATCTTCTGGAGCAGTTGGCACCATGTACGAATGTGAGACCCTGAAGAACCACCTGATGTATCCGTCGACGTAGATCTAGTCATTCAGTGCTATGGTAGCCTAAGCCTCATCTGATACTATATGACTTTGATAATCAACAAACATCTCGTTAATCTGTATACAAGTCAAGGCAGGAGGAGCAAAGACAAAAGGGTGTCTAGGTGTACCCGAACTGCAGGCATATCATGTATAGCGATGTGTCGTCAAATGGCCGCGTTAGACGGTGATCCACGTAGCAGCTGAAGTGGATGTCCTCGGCAGATAAGCAGTCAAGATAGAATCTGTAAGGCTCGGCCGCCTGGTTCCCTCTCAGCGGGATAAAAGCCCAGGCACGGGACATCTCCTTAGTGTACTCATCCCAACACGACCAGCCAGCGATGCGCGGGAAGTGCTGGAGGATCAAATCCTAAAATGAAAATAAAAAGCATTCAGGGATCAAGAATTATCGCAAATATGAAATGAAAAGGATAAAAAAATAATCAAGTATAAAAAGTTATTACCACTAGTAGTGTCGTGCTGCTTGTGGTCTGCTTCGTCATCCATCGACATCCATCTCTCAACTTTGAATACAGATATGCAAGGCAAGCCGCCCCCAGTTGTACTCATGGATTCATGTGAGATCCAAGAAGAACCGGAGGTATGCAACGTCAATGTAGGTGGCACTTGTGTCCACAAAAATCAAATTGCCAACTAAAAATAGAAAATATGCCCTCAAAGCATGAGTCATGTGTAGGGGTGAGCAAGGGATGGGTCGGGATGGGTTATGACTAACCCTAACTTTGTCCTAAATTTTGATCGGGCTATTTAATGACCCTAACCCGTAAAAAACCCAATAATATATAAGTTAGTTTAGATCGGGTTAATGTAAGACGATATCGGGTTGACCCGAAATATATGAAGAAAAAAATTTTAGTGACTTAAAAAATTTATTATAGTATTTTAAAAAATTCATTTAAATAAGAAATATGAATAAAATCATAAGCATGAATGAAAAACAATGAATACATCTAAAATCAATTTTTTTAAAAAAAAAAAAAAAACATGATATAATTCTATATATGTCATCACCTTTTTATTTTCCCTAAAACATAGTAAAAAGATGTAAAATAAAAAAAACATGATGTAAGATAACTAGAAAAGTGCGAAAGTTGGGAAATGGGAAGATGTGTACTTAGCATTTACTTAGTGCATATATTAAATTATGAGGTGGAAAGTGGAAAAGTATATTGGAAATTTAGAATAATCTAAATATACCAATAAATTAAATAAATAAATAAATAGTACCACACGTGCATTCATAATATTAGGACGGGTTGGGTAACCCGAGGGTCAACCCGAACGCGTCCCACCTGATACCGTGTTCATTTTTGGACAATCACTTTTTTTCATTTTTTTACATGAGACGGGAAAAAGACTAACCCGAAACTATTGGATTGGGACAAGTCTTCAGATTGGGTTGGGTTCTGCACACCCCTAGTCATGTGTATGGCCACCTTCTGGGCATCACCATCAGCCTGCTCTGCAGCAACGAGTGCCTCATAAAATATCGTCTTCAAGAACGAAAACCTAACATGAGCACCCATGGTCCTATCCACCTTCTTGAGAACCTCGTATTTGGTCATCCTACCATGATGGAGGAATCTCCCCCTGATCGGTAGATGCAACAAAGACGAGACATCGTCCAGTGTAATCGACATCTCACCATGCATGAGATGAAAGGAAGAGGTCTCAGAGTGCCATTGCTCCACGAGTGCATTAAGCATCCCGTGGTTGACTAGACTGTAACCGGTCAAGCATAGGTCACTCAACCCAGAAGCGGTCAGAATCGACCGAAACCACTGCTCATCTAGCTGACGCAATGCTAAAATCTTCCGCCCATAGTTCAAAAACTTCTAATGATTGCACACCTGGAAATTTCCAAAAATAATCAATGTCTATAAGAATCAATGTTAGAAATAATCAATGTAAAAAATATAGTAATAATGTGACTAATGTTACATCTCTGTCCTAGATATGTCTGGCAGTGTGGTCTGGGTACATAGAAAGTAGGGACATATCAGATGGGCCCCTTCCGAAAGCGTCTAGCTCGACATCAACAACATCACCCTCGGGAGGTGACACCGGTGCATCAGGATCATCAGCAACCTCACCATTTAGAGGTGGCATCGGATCAATAGGAGGTGGCACAGGTGCATTCCGACGCCTGCGGGAGGATGGGGGAAGTGATGCGTCATCTGGTGCTTCCCGTGGCCTTCGGGAAGAAGAAGTAGAAGGTGGTGTGGGCTGAGATGTAGATGGAGTGGCCTGAGGCGAATGCTGATCCCCATGAGTAGGCTGAGATGTAGATGGAGTGGCCTAAGACGAAGGCCGAACCCCAGGTGTTGACTAAATCTCAGAAGTAGATTGTGCCTAGCAGTCTACGCCTCTCCCAGACTAGAGTTACCTGCTGCCTTCGGAACCTACTAGCTCCGCTCCCGCCAAACGGATGCGTGTTGGGCAACCCGTCCGTGCCGCAATCGGTCAGCTTTATCAGCCATTATGCTTGCAAGGTATAATTAACCGTACAATGAGTTTACATAAATGAATAACACAAACAAGAAAATTATAAAACAAAGAAAAAAAAATAGACAGAGAAAATTCCAAAGATACATCTTCGAAAAATTCAATGTTTCATGTACTCAGGGTGATTTTGGAGATACAACTACGGAAAAATTTCACACATGTATCTCCGGAATCACCCAGAGTACATAAAACGTTGAATTTTTTCAGAGATGTATCTCCGGAATTTTTTGAAACTCATAGGTCGCGACAATGGCATCCTCTGTCCCTTAGAATGAGAAATTTGAAGCATTGATCGTCCATTTGAGCCAATAAAGAATATATACACCTTAACAATGCATTCTAACTCGTTTACAAGAATACTCAAGTATTTATCGGGAACTCGAAAAACTTACCTGAATTATATGATTTGGAAGATGTTAAGTAATGTACTGGATGCTGCTTGATGATTACTTAAGCCTTAGACAGATGAAATCAAATTTGGTGAAGTTGGAGATATTTGAGAATGAGAGAGATGAAGATGCCTGTGAATGAAAATGAAAAAGTGAAGGAAGAGAAGAGTATGGCGCGATAATATGCTCCAAATTATTCCAGAGATATATCTTCAGAATATTTCAACGTTCAATTAAGTTTTGGTGCGTCCGGAGATATATCTCCAAAATATCTTAACGTTCAATTGAATTTTGGTGCGTCCAGAGATATATTTCAGGAATCTATGGGCATATAAGGAAAGTTACATGGTGTGTAAGAAGTCTATAAGGTGCAAAAAGAAATCCCCTTGTTTCATGTACAATTACATGATGAGTGGAAGCTCATATTTTATCCTGTCCAACCCTACCTTTTGACTTGACACCCCACATATTTCCATAATGTCCATGTTACACTTATTAAAATTTTATAAAAAAAATTCAAACAAAAAATCAGATAAAATTATAAAATAATCCGGTACAAATAAAAAAAATCCAATAATGTATAAGAAAGTTTTGGCATACCGGATATTTCAAAAATCCCGTATTTTATGGCATATACTGACTTTTTTTAATTTCCTTATATTTACCGACTATTATTTATTTATTCAGAATAAATAATAAGCGCCCATTGTAATGAAAATTGGGCTTGATGCCCAACTCTATTTCCTTTTCCTAAACAGAATTTTGTTATGTATTAGTTCAAACTAATCATTTATATAAACAAATTTAACAAACTGAGTATAGTAATCAAGTACATTTTTT